TGGATTTCCAGAGGCTAATACCATAGGGGGTGTTGACCTCTTTAGTTACCCATGTGTTCAGTTCCTCATACTTGCTCTTGATTACCCTGTACCGGAGGGCTTGGTCCTCTTGATGGTACCTCCATAGCCACTTGACCTTGAGTGCTTTGCTTTGGTATTTAAGGTTCTTGATACCTAGTCTACCTTGTTCTTTACTTCTGATAATGTTCTTCCATTTGACCAAATGAAAACCTTTCCTTTCCTTATTGCCTTGCCAAAAGAAGTTTCTTCTGATTTTATCCAACCTTTGAACTACTGACTGGGGTATATGGAAGATCGATAACATATATGTAGGGAGGGCATCTAAAACTGAGTTAATCAAAGTTAGTCTACCTCCCAAGGATAGATATTGTGATCTCCATCTGGCTAATTTCTTTTCACATTTCTCCAGAATTGGATTCCAAATATCTATGGACCTATACTCAGCCCCTAGAGGCATACCCAAGTATATTGATGGCAAAGTGCCTATCGCACCTCCCAGAATCTGAAAAAGGTGATCCATTTCTGGAACCACATTAATTGGATACAAGTGGCTTTTGTTCCAATTTATATGGAGCCCAGAAATGGCTTCAAAGTACACCAGTATAAGTCTTATTATCAAGAGTTGCTCCTCCTCAGCCCCACAAAAAATTAGTGTATTATCAGCATACTGCATATGTGTGATCTCTACATTGTTTCCAACAACCTTGCTAACTTCGAATCTGTGAATTCTTCCTGTTATCTTACCTATATTCAGCATGTTATTGAGACCCTCCATGGCTATGATGAACAGGAAAAGGGATGGGGGATCCCCTTACCTGATCCCTCTATGTGCAATGAAGAATCCTTCAGGTGACCCATTAATGGGAATTGAAAACTTCACAATTGAGATACAAAACTTGATTCAGCTGGTCCACCTCCCACCAAAACCCATTTGACTCAGCATACATAAAATGAATTCCCAGTTCACATGGTCATATGTTTTCTCAATATCAAGTTTGCATAATATACCGGGTTTTTTCTGGGCCACTCTGGAATCAATTGCTTCATTAGCTATGAGCACTGCATCTATTATTTGCCTGCCTTTGATAAAAGCCATTTGTTGCTTGTCTACCAATTTATACACAACTCTCGAGTCTTTCTGTCAGTACCTTGGAAATCAACTTGTAAAAGCTTCCAATTAAACTGATGGGTCTGAAGTCATTGAGTTCCTTTGCTCCTGTCTTCCTAGGAATCAGTGCTATGTATGTTGCATTATAGCTTTTTCCAAACATCCCAGTTGAGTGAAAATTATGGAATGCCCCCATAATGTCTTGTTTAATGATGTCCCAACATTTTAGATAAAACCCCATTGTGTAACCATCAGGGCCAGTTGTTCTTGTTCTCTTTTCCTTTCATAAATGCAAATGTTACAAATACTTGCAGACACGTCATTAGATTTGTGTAAATTTCATTTGTATCACTTAAATCTTGATGTAAAATCAAATTAGATGATTTGAAGATTTTCAGAATAATGCAATTGACATATTTCAAACGGCTAAATCTCTTCCTGATTATGAATGCATGTTCATTAGAATTATTTTTATCACAACTTCCTCTAATCTCATTTTAAAGATGTAGCTGATTGATTTCCATTTATATCATTTTACTGGAACTGAAAGACAAGGTAAATGGCTTGAACATGCAAAGGTAAAAGATCATCTTCAAAAATATTTTTTTTAAATAACAAGTACTATATAATCTTTTAATTTTACTTTAGTGTGTATAATAAATAACTGTAAGAGTCTCGTGTTCTTTGAATTCATAGACTTGTGAGCCCAACGACTAAAACATTATCAGATGTTTAGTTTGACACTTTACTGATTAGACACTTAAAAGGATTACATATTGTATAATCTGAGAATTTTACGGAAGTGATTAGTTGAAAGAATATGAAAGTCAAGTAATTTAGAGAATCTACGTCTCTTAAGTCTTCAAAAAAGAGGGTGTCGATCGTTACTAAAATCCTCTCTGAAAACAGAAAAATATTAAATATAATTCTATATTAGATAGAATTTACCAGCAAATTTTAACTTTGATATTTATAGAAAGAAAATTAAGTAATCAATTTGCATAAGCTGCCATTCAAGTAATAGAAATGCACTAAATGAGGTGAATCTGAGGAAATGACGGACCTCACACTGTGTACTAGGTCCACATAAATGCTCTTTTTGACTGTCACTCTCCATATCACGTGGTCTATAGTTCAGGGGTTAACACCAACGGTCCACAATACTCCATAATTTAAGTGTTGAACTGGAAATTGTGAATAATTTGGGGAGTTTAGAGGTATTAACTCAAAAGAAAATCTCACTTAGATTTTTTTTTTTTGTCGTTTATCAAAAAAAAAAAAAACAGGTAGGATAGCAAAAAAGGAAAAAATATTAAAGATTGTTGACCAGAATCAATTTACAGGTGGATGAAGCAAAAAAAGAAAAAATGTTAAAGATTGTTGACCAGAATCAATTTACAGGTGGATGACATTTCCATTTCCATTTGACCAAGATTTCGTATACGACTCTCACTCCTCATCAAAGCACACTAACATCCCACAATTTTCACCCAATAATTTTTGCGCACACTGAAGTGAATAAACAATCTAAAGGCATGTCCTAAATCTCTCTCTGTCTTATCTTCTTCTTACATTCTCTAAGGTTGTTTTACTGATGTCGGATCTTGATTACCAAAGTTGTTGTAGGTGTTAAAAGAATTCGGTGTACACCTTGTGGAATTATTTTCTCCCTTTTCTAGCTATTTATTTTTTGCCCATATAAAATGTGTGTTTTCTTGTTATTAATGTTTAACTCTTTGTCAAGGTTGGTTTTGATTTACTGAATTTTCATTTTGTTTATATAGCGATTGAATTTGAGTCCTGCAATCAAGAATGTAGCTTCTTTTGATGCTTTTACAAACTTCTCATTGTTATTCAAAAAATTGTAACATCATTTTTTGACCTGCAAGGTTAAATGCAAATGGTGCTTTTGTATTCTGTCTTTTCTTTTCTCAAAAAGAAATTTGGATTTTGAGGCATCTAACATATAAGCTCTGTAGATAGATGATTAGTAGTTTATATGAGAGAAAAGATTGATGTAGGCTTCATATCAGCTGCTAAAACTCTAATGTTAGTTCCCTCTTTACTATGGAAATCAGGCGATGAAAAGCACTTTATCGCTAAGTTGCTTGGGAATTGGTTGCGGGCAAAATCTAAATTTTAAGATTCGGGGGTACGGAAGTACTTGTTATTTTCAGCTTTCTTAGATTTGGATTGAAGATCCATCATACTTACTTGCTAGTTTAGCTTTCAAAATAGAATTTAGTCATATACTCCATTTGTCCCAACCAAGTCCAACTATCATTGGTTCTGTTGTTGAAGACTTTTTATCAATACTCCATTTGTCCCAATTTGTATGATGCTTTATTTCAGGACATAACAAAATAATTGATATCATTTATCTTATTAATTCCTTACTGTGAGGATAAACTAGTATTACATTGATCGTTTGTTTGCCACAACACTCCTTTATTCAGGTCTGAGATCATCAAACTGAGTTCACATAGATCGTTCATATGTCTAGGCTCATTTCCACGTCAATGGTGTGATATTCTGCTAGACCAAGACACAAAACATAAAAAAACTTATAGTTGAAATAGAGGAGTGTTGTGCAATAAGGAGATACATACTGGTGTAAAAGCTTGGTTTAGTAAGAGAGTTGTGAAACCTATGGTGTATGGCTTGAGTGCATAATGAAAAATGAGTGCTGTAGAAATGCGAATGGTATGATGGTGTGTGGTATTACAAAACTAGACAAAATAAGTGATGATTAAGGTACAAGTAGCACATGTAGAAGGTAAAAGGAAAGAAGGTCCTGAATTATTATAGTTTAGAGTTGTCTACCTTCGAAGTTACAATTGTACTGGTGTATTGGTTTGACGCTATGATGGCTGAAGGTGTTAATACGGACGAGGTAAACATTACAATTACATGGAGAAAGTTGTCCCAAAAGACTTGCAGTTTTCGAGATTCTTGTGAAATTAACAAAATACAAAATATAGATGATGCACAAGATACATATGTAATTCCAATGGTTAGGATTAAAGGTTTATTTTATGTTGCTACACTTGTATTAATTATGTTGTTTGCTAGGATCTTTTTAGTTCATTTCTGATTTGTATTTCGGTAGAAAATATAGAAAATCTTTATAATAGAGCATCCTTGATAATTATCTGAGTATTGAAATGAAACTGCTCCAAACGGAACAGAATGTATATTTGAGTGTTCACATACTGACCTCATTAGTTTAGGTTTGAAACATAGCTATTGTAAAGTACAACTACACCTCAATCCCAAACCAGTTGGAATTAGCTATATGAATCCTCAATGTCCATATCACTCCATTTAAGTTATTGTAAAGTAGTATTGAAAATTTGAATTCGCGTAGAGCGAAATGGTTACAAAGGAACCATGCCAGTTCTCTTTGTACTTGTCTTGCTCTTTAAAACATACGACAAGTCTTCAGCTTTTCCATCCTTGTGCTCAGGACATTGAATTTTCCTCTTCAGGGAATTTTTGTGCAAATCAATGTTACTTCCTCCTTTTTTGTATGATTTTGCTTTCAGTAAAGTATTATTTTATCCGAAATGTGATACGTCCATCAGCTATGCCAGCAAGAACATAGTTCTCTATTGTTATCTACAACCAACTGTTCCAGGTTATATTTTCCTAGTTTCTTCACTTTTAGGCATCATAGTACCCCTCAGATGTTTTTGTACACTCTTCTATGTTTCTTCGTATTGCAGGGCTTAACTTTTTATTCTTCATGGTCTGACACAGAAAGACAATCAGCAACATATCAATTTGACGTCAGAAATTCAAATATTCTTCATGGATCTAGTGAACTAATAGCCTTTCTCGTTTCTACAGGAGTTTAGGAGATTGAAGCTTTATGATGGAATTTAAAAAAAAAAAAGAGATTGAAGCTGTTGTTATGGAAAAAGGAGATTCTCCGGTAAGGAGATGGGAGGACCTTGATATTAATATCTTGGTGACGATACTCCTGTCCTTTGACCTTTTCCAGTTGATATATGCAATTCCTCAAGTTTGTCGTGCATGGCGATTGGCTTGTTGTGATCCACTTCTCTGGAAAACGCTGGACTTGTCCGTGTTGCAATCGAATTTCATCAGACTCCCATTGAAGCCGTACGTATATGTCGACAGTCCGTCTGAAAAAAAATTGACCGGACTCCTAAATATTTGCTTGAGCCTCAGTCGTGGAAACATACAAACATTGATCTTCCATACCAATTTGTATGTTAACGACAATCAGTTGACTTTTGCTGCCGAGAGGTATTCCCCCAATAAACTTTCATCTTTCTATAGTATTATAATTATAAGTTAAATCAAGAAACCATACAGCAAGCAACGTTTCAGAGATATCAGATACCTATGATTTTCCATTATTCTTAGAGAAGCAAAATTACTGTGAAAATGAATAAGACAGCTAATTAGATCTCTTTTTTTTCAGGTGTCCACGGCTTAAACGCCTAGTTATGCCTTCTTGGAACAAAATTAAAAAGCGAACAATGTGCAGGGCTATTCATATATGGAAAGATCTTGAATCACTAACGATGCCAAGTATAAATAATCCTGCACGTGTCATTGAGGAAATTGGCAGGAGTTGCCAAAATTTTTCCGCGCTCAAAATTATGGGGACCTGTGATATGCTGTTTGCATCTGCACTGGCTTCATTTCTTCCAAACTTGGAAGTATTGAGTGTGAGGTGCACGGTGTTATCTAAACCTGCTCTGGCTATTATCTTGGAGGAGTTGAAAAAGTTGAAAGTGCTCAACATATCTCATTGCATAATTACTGAAGACCCTGAAGATCCTCCACTTGAACCGATGAATATTCTGACCGAGCTGGATGAATCAATTCTTGAAAAAGCGTCTAGGTTAGACAAATTCCTAACCTGCATGAGTGACTCATGCATCATGTGTCAGCGTGCTCTAAATGATCAAGGGTTTATGAGGTGGTATAAGTATGAAGAAGACCTCTGGAAAGTGGATGAGGTGAAATCTCTTGCAGTTTGACAACTTTTAAGAAGAATTTCTTCATGAGCTGAAGGTCTGGAGTAAATGTGGAAGCTTGTGTAGGTTTCATTTTCTCTGTGTTTCTATGAAATTGTGCTTTTCGTTTCTGTGTTTTCGTAGTACACAGTGAATTCTTTACGCAGTTTTATATGTATTGCTAAGCATAGTAAGCTTATACTTTGCTTTGCTAAGCTTTTGGGATGCTAAACGTGTTTATTTTCTCACTAAAAAGGTGAGATATTTGGTTAGACTATGGGAGAAAATAAATGTGTTTGAAATTAGCAAGAGTTGTTTTCCAAAACGGAAAAAAGTAGATTTTCTTCCAAATTACTTATTTGGAAATACTTTTGAGAATATATACTTATACTTCGAAATAGTTTTTAAAAAATTGGTGAAGCACTAAGTTGCTTAAAAGAGCTTTTAAAATTAATTTATCGAACACATTGTTATTCAGTAAAAGTAATCTTTTTTTTAAAGAAAAGAAACGCTTGAAAAAAATGTTTTTCTTATTAAGCTGATTTTTAAAAACTCAACTAAACATGTTATTATTCTTTTATGGAAGTTTTGTGAGTTTCATACCTAAACTCCTTATAGAATTAAGGTGATGCAAACTACAAACAATTGAGAAACTTTATGAAAAAACTACAAACAATTGAGAAACTTCAATTCATAAGAAGGTAAAAATTGAACATGAGTTGAAGTGTACTATTTTTTACTTTGAGTTGTGTATCAATCAATATCATTAGTAAATATATCATCATGTTTATATTTTGTGAATATTTCATCCTCCTTTAATATTTTCGCAAAAATTATGTAAATACAAAATGATGAACTTTTTTTTTACAAATATAAATTTATGGGTCAATTTTTATATAGAAAAATGTGAAATTATGAAATGAAATTCTCAAAAAAATTGGCTAATTTGATATTTCATGACATGATTCTAAAATCATGAAATAAAATTTCACTTCAACTGTTCAACAGTAATTTGATTTCATGTAAATAAAATCACATGTCCAAGACTATAAAAAAAAAAAAAAAAAAATTCAAGGTAATATATTATTCTAGTGTAGATTAATTTTCAATTTCATTCAATTGTTGGAGGAAGCTATATTGTGGTCTCCTCTTCTTCATCTTCTCCAAGTACAAGTATGGCTGTAGATTCTATCACAGCTCTCTCTCCGCCAAATTCTTTTACACTATGCTATCTCTCACCAATAGATATTTCAAGGAACAGATCCAACCTCTGCCACCTCCAGTTCATCTTGGACAGATTTCTGAAGAGGAATTGAAGCAGGTTGATTCAAAGAAGATGGCAATCAAGGGTCAGATCTATCATATTTCACAGAACAGGTAATTTTCATACTGTTCTGAGCTATTATGTTTTCTGGGTAGGTTTTCTTTACAAGGTAATTTTCATCTTATTTAGTACTTTCTATGTGAAGCTTTGAATTTGAATTCTTAGATTTTTGTTGTGGAAAGTTCTAAGCTTAATGTGAAAGTTGGGGAACTTCTGGTAGAGAAAAGAAAAAAAGAGTTACTGATCGTAGAATATTTAATTTTCTGCTAAATTAGTCATGCGTGGAGATTTTATCACAGCTAACTCAATTTACAGCTTTTGATTTGTACTAACTATCACCTAATCGATTGAATCTCTATCAGTTAACAACAGCTAGCAAGCCTTGCTGGTATAATGAATATACTAAGTTATTAACTTGGAAGTAATTGTGGGTGAGTAACTAATATTTGCTAGGGAAGACTAGGAAGACACTGTTAAACATCTTAAAGTGAAAGGACTGTCGAAACATAATATTGTCAAAATGTCTCTAGGCAATTTAAACAATTATACCTTCCTACACAGGTGTAGCCCTTCGAGAAATTCACCAAAGCATATGAAATTTAGTCTGTGTTAAAATTCACTATAGTGTTGTGCACCACTTTTTCAAAGAATAGGGACTATTAGTGTTCCATGTGAAAGAAATATGATTATTTTGAGCCTTTTCTCCTTTCCAATACGCTAGGACATTTTGTCCCTTTTCGTACAGAGTATGATTTTAAAAACTCTCATATAGCTCATTTATCTTCTTTTCTAAAAAAGAAGAAGAAATCCTATTTCTCACTTAAGTAATATATGTTTTCATTACCAAATTTAAATGCTCATAAGAACTCTTGAATACCATCTAGGAGATTTATTGTTCTTTTTCTCGTTTCCTATTGTTATTGCAAACAGTACAAATACGTGTACACATCATTAGATTTGTGTAAATTTCATTTGGATTACTTAATCTTGACGTAAATATCAAACTAGATGATATGAAGTGTTTCAAAAAATGCGATAGACATATTTCAAACGTCTAAATCTCTTTCTGATTATGAATGCATGTTCATTATAATTATTTTTATCACAACTTTTTCTAATCTCATTTTCAAGATGTAGCTGATTGATTTCCATTTATATCATTTTTACTGGGAACTAAAAGACAAGGTAAATGGCTTGAACATGCAAGGTAAAAGATTAGCTTCAAAAATACTCTTCATGGATCTAGAGAAGTAATAACCTTTCTTGTTTCCACAGGAGTTTAGCAGATTGAAGCTTTTAAGATGCCATTTCTAATTTTTTTTAAAAAGATTGAAGCTGTGGTGATGGAAAGAGATTTTCCTGTAAGGAGATGGAAGGCCCTTGATAATGATATCTTGGTGAAGATACTTTAACCTTTTCCAGTTGATATCTGTAATTCCTCAAGTTTGTCGTGCATGGCAATTGACTTGCTCTGATCAATTTCTCTGGAAAACTCTGGACTTGTCAGTATTGCAGTCAAATTTGATCAGATTCCCAAGGAAGCCGTACATATATGCCGACAATCTGTCTCAAGAAAAATTAACCTTAAATATTTGCTTGAACTTCAGTCGTAGAAACAAACAAACATTGATCTTCCATCACAATATGTATGTTAACGACAATTTCATTCAATGGATGGAGGAAGCTATTGTACTTCATCTTCAAGTACAAGTATGGCTGTAGATCTATGGGAAACACTGAAAGATTCTATCACAGCTCTCGCTCCGGCAATTTCTTTTACACTATGTTGTCTCAGAGTTTTTTGGTTCACCAGATCATGCTCACCACCAGAGATTTTGATGAACAGATGCAACCTCGAGAGATTTCTGAAGAGGAATCGGAGCAGTATGACTCAAAGAAGATGGAAATCAAGGGTCAGATCTATCTTATTGTATTTCTCAGAGAAGGTAATTTTCATAGTGTTCTAAGCTATTATGTGTTTTGCGTAGGTTTTCTTTACAAGGTAATTTCATCTTATTTAGTACTTTCTATGTGAAGCTTTGAATTTGAATTTTTAGATTTTCGTTGTGGAAAGTTCTAAATTTTATGCCTAAGTTGGGAACTTTTGGTAGAGAAAATAATAAGAGAGTTACTGATAGCATCATATTTAGTTTTCTGCTAAATTAGTCATACTATATCCATGTGTAGAGAATTTATCACAGCCAACCCAATTTACAGCTTTAGACTTGTACTAATATTGTCACCTAGTCGATTGAATCTCAACCCATTTAACAACAGCTAGTAAGCATTGCTGGTATAATGAACTTGCCATCATTCAACAAGAAACATATTTACATACCAAGTAATTAACTTGAAGTAATTGTAGGTGAGAAATTAATATAGTTGTTATGGAAGACTAGGAAGACCCTGTTAACCATCTAAAAGTCAAAGGACCATTGAGATATAATACTGTAAAAAAAAACTCTAGGCAATTTAAACAAATTTTCCTTCATACACTGGTAGACTTTCGGGAAGTTCACTAAAATTGATCCAGTTGAAAATCCATCACGAGCAGGTCACGTGGAAGCAAACAAAAAAGATACAAACAAGACTACCATATATTTTTAGTTCTATATGTATATGTTTGCCTACAGATGGTCTGAGTTAAGAGGGAGAGAAGAATGGAGGTTAGATATTAGGATCAGAAACACTTGAGAAGCATATGAAGTTTAGTCTCCGTTAAAAAATTCACCATTGTAAGGGTTATGACTGAAAAGTGCACCATGTGAAAGAAAGAGAATCATTTTGAGTCTAAGTCCAAATAATAGTGGACTATTGTGAGCCTTTTCTCCTTTACAATACATTAGGACATTTTTAAGCCCTTTCCGTTCAGAGTATGACTTTAAGAACTCTCATATAACTCATTTATCTTGTTTTTTAGAAAAGAAGAAGAAATCCTATTTCTCACATAAGAATTATATATTTTCATTATCTAATTTAAATGCTCAGAAGAACTCTTGGATACCATTCGGGAGATTTCTTGTTCTTCTTCTCTTTTCCTTTCATAAATGCAAATGTTACAAATACTTGCAGACACGTCATTAGATTTGTGTAAATTTCATTTGTATCACTTAAATCTTGCTGTAAATTCAAAATTAGATGATTTGAAGATTTTCAAAATAATGCAATTGACATATTTCAAACGGCTAAATCTCTTCCTGATTATGAATGCATGTTCATTAGAATTATTTTTTATCACAACTTCCTCTAATGTCATTTTAAAGATGTAGCTGATTGATTTCCATTTATATCATTTTACTAGGGACTGAAAGACAAGGTAAATGGCTTGAACATGCAAAGGTAAAAGATCATCTTCAAATTTTTATTTTTTTTAAATAACAAGTATTGCATAATCTTTCAATGTTGCTTTAGTGTGTATAATAAATAACAGTAAGAGTCTCGTGTTCTTTGAATTAATAGAGTTGCGAGCCCGACGACTAAAACATTATCAAATGTTTAGTTGGTCACTTTACTAATTAGACACTTGAAAGGATTACAGATTGTATAATCTGAGAATTTTACGAGAGTGATTAGTTGAAGGAATATGAAAGTCAAGTAATTTAGAGAATCTACGTCTCTTAAGTCTTCAAAAATGAGGGCTTCGACCGTTACTAAATCCTCTCTGAAAACAGAGAACTATTAAATATAATACTGTATTAGA